TGATTTTGGCGCAGATTTACATGTTGGCCTTTACCAGGCCAGCACTGCTGTTTGGTCAAAATTGGCTTCGTCGGAGTGGCATTGTGTGCCGTAGTTGGAGTCTGGCAGTGCACCCGTGGTCGCTGCAAGTGTGACTGTTTCATCTGACGGTCACTGTATTCGTTATCCTACTTTCTTTCCCATTCGTCTGGAAAGAAAAAATCCTATACGCATCACGTCCCCTCTGTCGCTTGTGTAGTTCTTCAGTATGAATTCTCTCTGTACATCCTCCTCCCTTATAATATCCACAGGGATATGTGGGAGCTTCGAGGAGTGCTGAGCTGCATACGCTGTGGTGCCCGAAGTCGCACCACGAGGTGACAGCGTTGGATACCTCGGTAATTCTGATCGTCTGAAATTAATGGCTTAATTCTTCAGCCACGCAGCTGATAATTTTTTCACTTGCATTGACCAGTGTTGCATCACTTTTTGCACAGCTTGCCAGCGGTTTTATTTACGTTTCGTCCCCTGAAGGGATTGGTTCGGTGGTTCTCCCAGCAGCAGCACTTCTGGCAAGGCTTCAGTCGTTTCGAGATGCCACTGGTGAATGCGTTGAGCATCAGTACCTTTTTTTGAACTTAGGCACGTCTGAATCACGATGCGTTGTCTTTATGACTAAGGACTGCGGGTAATATTAATTTTTTTATTTCAAAGCTGCGTATTTGGAGTTTTTGAATGAAAATGATTTACAGGCTTGGATATATTAAAGAGTATGCTGATACATTTTGGGCAGCTTGAAGACAGAGCCAGGGCGCAGGTTTTCTATAACATGTTTTTCATGGAAATTCTCGTCCACGTGTTGACAGTGGTCACAGACAGCAACCAAACCAAAATTCTGGGTAGGTTGCTCATTTCTGAGGATTCGGGAAGTTATCGTGCAATCTAACCGGCTTTAGCCTTCCTGGCTTCGTTTCTTCTCAGTAGTTTAAAACATCCCGTGGAAATGTTTGCTGCGATTTTAGTGCTGTTTTTTACTGCTGACGTCTGGTAGTAGTTGTGCGAGGGTTCTCAATTTTGCCACATGAGCGTGTCACTAGTCGTTTTCTGTTGATCTGCTAATTGAAGAAAAATACGAAACGGACGAATAATCAAAAAATTATTTGGCTGAGGCCTTGTAAATAACAGAAATAACCCACTGCGGCTGATTTTGTCACCATACACTGCTCTTTTTTTTTTAAATAATGAATCATTTGAATATTCGGTTCAGTCACCAGCACATGTGTTGATCGTACCAGTGTGACTAGAAAGCAAGAAAATCATTTTTTTTTACATTTTATAAGTTCTCATTGGACGCTTTTCAATAAAATTAAGAGGAGTTGCAGTTAAGAAGGTTCCAATAGCAGTACAAATCAAATGTTCTAAGATCGATGGCTCGCGCCACCTTTGCCGATTAGCCATAAATTATGACGCCTGAAATGTTGCTTGAGAGAGACTTGAAGTCAGCTTATTCTCACTCTTTTCGAAACCAAGTTAATACTGACGCGTGTCGGGGAGACGGCCTTCATGTTTAGTGAAGTGTGGATGTTGAAAAGAATTATAATCCTTGTCTAACTTTTGCTTCTCCTCGGAAACCTCGTTCTGTGGATTTACGACTGAGGTAATTGTCACTGTTGGTTACTTCAGCGCTACATTTGTAGTGTTACTGCAGTGTGTCGAAACGGCTTGCGTGTTTTGCGCAAAACGGACCACTTATGATAGCTAGGGAGGAAGCATCTTATATGGCATGTTAAGTGCTGACATATTTCAGGATTAACTTGTTATGCCGAAGTACTCTGTGCCCTTTTCTATGCAGCCGAATATTCGATCAACGAACAGCTCTATCCGCCACAGTCCAATGTGGATTACATCTACAATCATATCTGTGAAATATTTGCTGATGCATTTGAAAATCTCAGAAAGTAGGCTAATTTCATTCTTTGCTATATGTGTCGAAGAAGTGGATTATGTTGTTCGACGTTTGTGCCTTTTTTTTTCACTCAGACAGTATGCTGGATCGGGAGAGGCATGTGATGGGCGATTCCACGTCTTCCGGGCTATTTGCTGTCTGCCTGTAGATAATACTTTTCATATTGAATTGAAAAAGTGGAGCTGAGTTAATTACGTTTCGTGGACAGCTTAGTTCTTGTCGCAGACAGCTCTGCCATGACAAATGATGTGTTGCAAGAACATAATTCGTGAAGCAAGGAACTGGATCCGAAAATGAGCACGTGGAAGGCGAAGATGTAGAACGGCGGTGTACTCGCATCCGGGTTTTTGACTGGGAAATGAATATCTACCGCAGTCTTCAACCAAAGACTGCATACAGAAAGGCTGTCGGTTGACGCAAATTTCACAGCATCGTCGTTATCCTCAAG